GGGGCGATATGCTGACTCTGTAAACCGCTTAGAGAGGGCTGAAAGCCCTATGAAGCGGTATATAAGTCTAACTGCTATTGCTATTGCTATAAGCTCTGGATGTTAAAGACCATCTTATAGTGATCTTATCTTATTTCAGGCGCTTACTTCAAACCTTTGTTAGCTTCAGCCTCAATACTTATCCCAGGGTATTTTATCCTTCCTTCTAGGATGGTCCACACATCATACCATTTGATATTAATATTTGTTTTTGGCATACAGTGAATTCAGCTTTTATGGTTTAGTATAATGTATATATCCTATCATTTAAATATATTAAAGATGATTAAAACAAACAAACAATGGCTTATCATGAACAGTAAAACTAGTCTCAGTGTGGTTCATGGAAATAGAAAAAACAATGGCCCTTTTCCTGTTTCCTGAATCATCCTTGAAAACCCACATCTTCTGCAGACATGATTACCTTTGTAAGATATATATAATCTACAGAAGATTTCTCCTACTCACTTTGCCCTTTATTATAAGAGTAAGTATAAGAGAAAGACAATTAAATCAATAAGGCATTAAGGATATGCCTAAGGCGAAGAAATTGTTGACATTTTTGAACTGAACTTACAGGAGATTACTGTCTACATCTACAAATGCTATTCTTGGTTATACAGTGATTTGAGGGAGAACCGATTAATTGCTGGTTCAACCACAATTCTCTGTGTTAAGATGAAAACAGAATATAGCTGTTATCTGACCCAAGCATCTTATCTCTTCCTAATATACATTATGACTAATACTTCTAGAGAATAAAGCTAGAAAGAAAAATTATGTGTCCTACTTGCCAAAATAAACAAAACTTACAAATATTTAGAGTTAAATTGAACAACAAAGTAGTCCATACAAAGATTAAAAAGCAAATAGAATTTGTGAGCCAGAATTACATTTCACAAGCAGAACTTGTAAATGAAGCGTACGACCCAATTTGTTTCGTCATGTTTAACAGCACTGCAATTACTTTTGGGGAAATGAATATTAAAACAAAAATAATTAAACTAAAAATAGATTCTTTGCCTGAGCTATTACAGCTGAAAAACAAGAGTGAGGCTTTTGGTTTAGGTTTGCAATCATATTATCATTATTAATTTTGTACTTCAATTTTCTATAGATGACAAAACATTAACGAACTATGCTTCAGTCCCAAGCATGAAGAAGGAATGCCCCAAGCATAATCAAATATAAAATACTATCACACATACTAACATACACAACTTCATTGGCATTATCAATATTTGAAATGTGATTTAAAAAGCAGGAGAGCGAAATGAAGCACAATTTCTTTCTAAATGTTTGATTTCTTTCTTGCCATAAACTGCTCTTTAACCTCATACACAGCCCACATTTTTCCATTAAGTCCGTACTTCTACCAGTGCATTTCCATATTCATAATTTCTGAAAAAAAATATTTTCAAGACAGCCAAGACAAAAATGGCCTCTGTAGGCATAATCTCAATGTTGAATTGTTATGAGATTTGTCTATACTGTTTCATTACTGAGAATAGGTATTTTAAAGATGAAGGTATTGTAAGGTAAATCTGCTGTAGTAGATTTACCTGTAAATAGATCCCTTAGTTTTAAATAGAAAAACACACTATAAAATGGATCAAGGAGGCACTTTTTGAAGACAAAAGTCCTAGCAAAATAGCTACTATAAACTATCTTTATCTGCTCCATCAATGGATTGGATACCTAAAGTGATATGATTAATTCAATTCACACAGTTGTTAAAACAAGAAGATATTTTCGGAAAGTCTCTGTTAGACAAAACTTTATGAGTGTTTCAAAGTCTGGGACGCAATGGATCAGAGGTTAAAGAGGTTGAGCATGTCAGCTGGATGGCCTAATTTCAAGACCCAAGCATTGCACAGGGTGAGCTCACATTACTTGCCCCACCCAGCACTTGCAAAGAATGCAAATGCAAGTAGATAAATAGGTACCATTTTATTGGGGAGGTAACAGTGCTCTATGAGCCTTGGCATATAGTCATGCTGACCACATGACCATGGAAATGTCTTCAGACACTGGCTCCCATGGCTAAGAAATGGAGTTGAGTACTGCCCCCTAGAGTCAGAAACAAGTGGACAGGGAAACCTTTGCCTTTTATTATCTCTACTTTCAAATTTGCTTTACTTTTTAATGCGACATTTATCATACTCCACTACCAAATGATTTACAAGTAAATATATTTTTTTTTTAAAAATGAGAGGCAATTTGCAAGAACTTACAAATTGTTCAGTCTTTCAAGGGCTGTCATATCCTTAATCATTGTATCTAGAAGCAAGCACTGGCAAGAATCAAGCCACTGAAGCAACCAAAATGTAAGTTTTATCTAATAGGATTCTATACTATTCAAGCCTCTAAATGCATCTGTATTAAGCACAAAGATTATTCCTGAGTACTGATTTACTTTGATTGTAGTCTCAATATGACCTATGGATTGTTGTTATTTGGACTGTATCCAAATATGTGGATACAATCATGTATTATAAATTATAGAAGCTCTTTTTGCTGCAGTCTGAGGATCGGGTGAATTTTCTTCTTGTTCTTCAGTTTCCTTCAATTTAAGAAACACATCTGATTTCAAGAAGCGGTTGTAGCTGTCATATTTCATGAGGTTGAAAATCTGTATGAAAAAAAGGAAACAATGCAAATCTATTTGAAACTAAGCATCAAACAACAAGAAGAACAAGAAAGGTTTTGCAAATGAGCTGCCCAATTTAGTCAAGAATAAATCTGTTTAAAAAAATGCTAAAAAGAAAATATTCTGTTGCCCTCGCAGGCGTTTTCCGATTAGTAGTTCCCTTCAGGTATGTGAAATTGATTTTCCAGAATTCATGTCCACCATTAACTCTACACAAAATCCTGGGAGTTGAAAGCCCACATAACTTGTGGAATTTAAAAACCAGCAAGACAGTTATGGATTTTGCTTTTCAAACGTGGCAAATAAAATGATGGTTGAGGATGTGTCAAAAGACTACATGACAGACTAATTTTCTAACCATGTAAACCATCCAGTTTATATGCTGGTTTATTAACAAACATTTGTTCTTCCATTTTCTTAAGACACTTTTTTTTAAAGGATTTCATCAATTCTGCCTGTCACCTTTTTGGTCTCCCTTTCCCTCCGAACTCATTCACTCATCAAGTATAAGGACCAGTCATAAGTCTAATTTTTCAACTTCATTGTAACTCTGAATGGTCACTGAAATAGCGGTCAGTTAAGTGAGAACTATCTGTACACTTTGCCACTATCTTTTTTCTCCATATCATTATATTCTTGGCATCCTTTCTGCAGCAATCACTCTCTTATATGATTTTTTCTTCATACACAGGCCTTTTCTCTTCATTATTGCACCCAGTAACTTTTTCCGTATTTCACACTACCGCAATTCCATAAAGTTTAATGTGCACTACATAAATTACTCTTGCATTAGTCAGAATACTGAGTACAATATATAATGCTATAATCTCACCTGACTATGATATTGCTATTAATTTTCAAAGAAACTTTGGGCATAATAAGGAGCCAACACAAAGACGGTTATCTTATACCATATATTGCTGCTTCAAAAATGCCAAAACAACGTCCTCCTAAATAGAATTATTTTTAGACAAGACAAATGGACAGTTTTTTTTCTCAACTGATTGGAGAATCCTTTAAGAGACACAAGGTGCTTTGATTTTTTTTTCCTTTTTTCTTTTTAATGTAAGTCATTAAATGTCATTTTTAAAAGTCATTTTTTTAATGTAAGTCACTATCTCTTTTTTTAGTCCCAGTTATAAAAACGTAGAATTCAAAACATTTTGTTAACAAATTTTAATTTAGTACACCTTGTGCTTTGTGTGTGTGTAAAAATATGATTACCAGGTTAGAAACCTGATGTTTGTTTTCAAATCAGAAACTTGTGTCTAAGCTTAATTTAGTTTAAAGGAAGCCTTACATTTTTTACCTACTACACAGTGACTATCAAATAAGAGTTATGCTGAGGAAATTAAACTATTATATTCTTCTATATAACATTGCAGTTCAAATGATGAACTTGAAACATTAACAGAACATAAAACGTATGTAAAACAGACACCTGGTGTTAATACAGGGCTGGCTTTGACATAAACTACTCTCTATTATAATGTGTTTGTCCTTTTATTTCTGTAGTATATGAATGCACCTATATTAATTAAGAACTGGATACAAAATAAGAAGCCATTTGTTAAAGTATTTGGGAAATTCTGGCAGCAGTAAAAAATTGTTTTTAGAGTCTTCTATTTTACATTCTTCTACTGTAAAGAATTTCCTGTATAAAGAATATTATACTCCAATAATTCAGGAGGATATTCAGGCTATGAGCCCTTCAAAGTAAGCGGCCTGACACAATTAGCAGACTGTTTATTTATTTATTGGTATACATTTAAATTCCACCATTAGGCATGCATCTATGATTTATGATTTGGATATAATATAATTGGTCATTTAAAAAACATATTGCACATAGGTTTTTCCTATTACTAAGACTGTGCCAAGACAGGAAGTAGAATTCTTTCACATGCTCATTAGCGGCCTGCCAAGTTTCTTTGTTTGTTTCCCGCTTTTATTATTTTTATAAATAACTGAAGGTGGCAAACATATCTAATATTCCTTCCCTCCAGTGGTGGGTTCTGGATCCCTTTACAACCAGTACAGTTGCAACTGAGCCCGGCGTCCTCCACGTGAATGCATGCAGCGCATACATGCGTCCTACCCTCCAGCGGTTCCACCACAAATCCGCGAAGCCCTTATCCGCGGAGACATAAGCGCGAAGACTAATTCGCGCCGTTCG